AAAACAAAAGGATTTAAATTCTGTTTTAAAATAACTCCAGCGTTCATACCTATCTTTGGTCTTGTGCTTAATAGGGGACCCAATACCAACAAGATTCAGCGCACTATACAATATTTGTTCATATAATAATGAGTTCGGCTTAAAGTGTGCAGATGACAAATTTGGAGACATATTAGCTTCCATTAAAATAACTTTTAGATCCTTATCAATAATTAAGTCAAATCGCATCAATTCGAAAAAGTTTTGTGTTTTATATGAACGTAACAGACGTGCAATATCTTGCTCCTTTGATATTATCGTACGTCGGATAATATCTTCCACTTGCGTCCAAATACCAGATGGATCTAAAGATTGATCACGAACATATGCGTCGAAAGCAGCCCGCATACTACCGGAATAACGTATGTAGTATTTTTTCAAAGATGGCACCTCCCATGTAGGTAAGTAATCGTCACCAACAACATACTTGTCGACAATTGAAGGATCAAACGGATAGTATTTAACGGGACAATATCTGAACAAAATATCTCCTTTATAAATATATGCACGCAAAGGATTTACAGAGGTTATTACAACATATGCTCCAATATCAAATTTATAACCATTTACCAAAAATGGATTTTGTATATACTCCTGGACAAATGAATCATTGGAGTCTAAGTTTATTTCGTTTGGAGAACGAATTGCAATTAATCTATGCTGATTGTTCTTCTCCACAAATAATGCACCCAAGTTGTTCATAGCATATTTCAAAAATTCTTCTTGTTCGGAAGGCAATCTAAATGCTCTCGGCAAAAATGGCAACGGTGTTGTACATAAATCAACTTTATTTGTTAAAAATCCACAACCAGGCAAATGATTAACCGTTTGATGGGGTTCAAGGTTTTTCATTCTCTCTGGCAAGCGCAAATATGGATAATCATGAGCCCACAGTAAATCCCAATCATCTTCAAAAGGAACTCGCCGGTATCCTAAATAACTTAAAACATTTTTCACGTGCACTAAATGATCCTCCTTTGGACTATTGCTGTATATCGCATATGTCGGTTGCTTACCAAACTGCAGATCGGTAGTTTTTTTAATTAAACTGCGCAGGCTTACGTTAGAGTTTAGAATCTTAAACGGCAGGAACTCCACCACAACGGCAGAAGCCAGCGTTGCACACAAAAAAAAGACCACAAAGCGCTTAGACATCAAAGTTCGCCTTCTGTTATGACAATATGCTTGATAACTATAGAACTACAAATGGAATATAAATTATAGAAAACTGTTCATTTAAAAATAAAAATTTCCAACCTCTTCATCAGCATCTTCACTGTCTGAAAAACGCGGCATTGTTTTGTGCTAAATACAATAAACGAAACGAAACAGTTGAAGATCAAAATTAAAATCCAACGCAATTATAAAGTAAAATCGCCGTTGTTTCAAACTTTCTCCACATTTGACGAGTGGTGAAAAGCGCTGCAGCTACAGCAGTTACACAGTCGCAATAAATACTGTTAGCTTTAAGTGATGCCAAGTTCTGAAACTAAATATACGTTCACATAAATTTCAAATTTATGACTTGAAATCAATTTTCATGGGTTTTAATACGATTTTCTTACAATTTAAAGAAATTGTAATATATTTAATTTACTGAATTAATTTAAAATATTTCTTATGTATTTTAATCTTCTGTGTTTTTTACTAACTAAAGTTTTGAATTTTTAGTTAACCATTTTCTATGGTGAGGATAATTTTTCTATCCTCACTTAAGTGTCGTTTTCACACTAAAATCAGTATAAATCTTAAATGACTGCGTTGTCGATAATATCGAATACTTAAAATTGTGCTTAAGAGTATAAAATTTAAGTAAGAACTTTAAATTCAGTAATTAAACTTAATTTCGATTAAAGGTAAAGTTGTATCTAAAGCGTCACATAATTTTAAAATACTGCTCATTAGCTTTCGTATTTTTTTTTAGTTTTATACTATTGGCGATTTCAATTGGTAAATCTGGATTCAATCTAGATTTACTCTCGATTTTATCGAAATTTTAGTAATAGTAACAGCGTAATATTATAGTCGTAGTGTTAGTAGACATTTATATATTATATATCATAAATGTACCATAGTACATTAGAATGAATGACATCCTCATGGACCTCAAGATTGATCTGATCAAAATATACATAAAGAATAGAACCCTGAAATTATTTACGAAAACTTACTAACAACACGTTATCGAATGTCAGAATGGTTACAGGCTTCTTGGGAAAATGATAAATAATAATCCAGTCAAGGCGTAGAAACGGGTTATGAAGAAACCTCGCAGTTAATAGAGAGTAAAGTGCTCAAGTGCACTGACTCAACATAATAAGTAGCAAGACTAATTTCAGGGTAATCTTGCTACTCTGGCAAAATATCTTAACTATTGCAAATTAATCTAGAATAACATACATTTCACCCAACATTTACCAATCGAAAATTAAAATGGTACTAAAAGTGTATATCGATTGAAAAAGTTACACCAGATTTACCAATCTATAATGGCATATATTTCTTATATTACATTCCTAAATATTTAGTAATATATATCTTTTTCCCTTGCAGTTGTCAATTATGTTCTTATTTTACTTTTACTTGCCTAGTGACATATATTCCTTAATCACTATAGTTGCTGCTTGCCCAATTCATTCTTTCAGTTTTGCTTTGTAGGATCATATATATTTACTATTTATTAGATTGAATTTCTAATTAGTTGGTTGGATATCATAGACTCATAGAAATACTAAAACATATAAATTTAATGAATCAAATTGAACTAGACATAATTTTTTTTAAAATTTATTTTCAAAGCACTATTCTGATATCTTATTCAGATATTGAAGCGTTGTTGGAATTATTATTATGTTGAGGCTAGCTGAGTCAGTGCCCTTGAGCACTTTTACTCTCTATTAACTACGAGGTTTCTTTATAATCCCTTTCTACGCCTTGACTTTATTTTATTTAATTTTAAATTTGTTGTATTAAATAGAAATTTATAGCAATTATATTATATATATAAAGTTTACAGCTATGACATTTTAGTCGACTACCAGAAAAATGTGAATGTGTCATCCTTACACAGAGGCCATACTAATCTCTCTGTACCGTTCCAATTTTAGTATATGTTCTGCCGTAGCAAGAAAACTAATATAAAACCCACTAATATTGCTAATCATCATTGGACATTTATATATTAAGACATCTCCAGTGAATACTTTTTGATTTGCAGGTGATATTTAAGAGAAATGTATTCTAACTTAGTAAAGAACTCTGCTATATGAATTGTATCACATAAATAAATAGTAATCCCTAATCCCTACTTAAATTTGTCTGAATATGCACTGAAATATTTATTATGAGTTTTGTTTTGATTCCTATATTACAGCGGAACGTCTATCTAATTCAATAGAAATGACAAATATCGCTATCAGTATCAATAGTCGAAGGTCGCACTCTGAGACTACAATGAAACTAACACAAAGTAGCTGAGATCTCAATGAGCGTTTGAAATTCTGATCAGATTAAGATGGAAGAATAAACGCTAAATCAGTACAAGCTCACGTTCAGGAACATCAAAATATCTTATCGGGTCATTCAGTTCTATTAGAGAGTTAAACGTATCAAGGGAATTATGAATCAATTATTATTTATTTTGCTTTTCATACAATTTGCAATATTTGGAACGTTTTGTGAGGAGAATTTTATTACAAAATGTGAAATTGAAAACGGCTTGAATGGTATTTGCGTAAAATTGGAAGATTGCGCATTCGATGGCGCAATAATAAGAAGAGATTCATCTTCTACTTGTGATTCCGGTTTTGTGTGTTGTGATAAGAATCCGCATACATCAAATCAGTTTACAACCAAAATTTTAGATTCCACTGAATGTTTTTCTGGTGGTTATGATGGACAAATATTTTCTACAGCATCTAAAGGTAAAGTAATCGAGTAATGAATAATGGTTAATATTCGGAGCTACAAAATTACCTTCATTTTTAGATAATCTTAAATATGAAATAACTGAGCTGAATGCAAATAAACCAGAAAACAAAGTGACAAATTTTCTGGTTCGTATTTAAATATTTTTGATGCAATAAAATTTCTCAATGAGATGTACTTTTAAAGGTAAAAATTGGATATCGAGAGTTTAATGGAGATATGCGTTACTTCTGTGGAGGGATTTTAATTACACCCACTTATGTTCTCACCTCAGCGCACTGCACTAACTTCAAAGGGTAATATTCTGTGTTTACACTTACATTTATCGCCGGTCATTACTATAGTTTTTTATGGATTTTGTATATATTTATATGACTCACACTAATCGTTGGACATTTGTTAAGTTAATTGTCAAAGACAGAGGCTAGAGGTATATTTCTCACATGCATTTTAATAGATCCACTTTAACTTTAAAAAGATTGATAATAATATATAATATATAGAGAGAGAAGATTACGAATACTTAAGACTCAAGATACTACAAGTGCGGTATTTTGGATATATGACGCGCAGAGTTTAATTACCAATTTATTTACAAAGTAGCGCCTAGTCAACAGAATAAAGCGTAGATTGCTAAAAGATTTTTAAATTGGATATATCTGATATGACTTGATGTTATATTAGATATATCCAATTTTTGATCCCGTTGATTATAAAAACTCTTCAAGAAAGTTATTCTTACCTTGAAAAGGTAGGCGTGATAATGGCGAATGAAGTTATCTGCTTTCACTTAATGTTATCTATATCTGGAAGAGCTTTAAACTCTTGTTCTATTCCATGTAACTACCTACTTTGCCCTAAGTCAAAAAAAGAAAATATTGATTAAATGTTATATATTCGTAGAAAAAGTTTTAATTCTCGGCCCTTTTGATCTGACTCTCGACTTTGTCTGAGTTAAACTGTAGAGCTTTTGTTCCCATCGGATATCAAAAACTCTTCAAGAAAGTTATTCTTGCTTTGATTAGGCAGGCGAATTTTTGCCAATGGAAAATACTGAGGTATAAACTATTGATCTTGTCGGTAATCAAAAACTCGTTAAAAGATATAAACGCTGTTAACATCTGCGAAAATAATATTAGCCGTCGAAAAGTACATTTCAACTTTCAGTAGAAGGACAAAATATCTATAGTTCGTTTAAAGATTTATTATTACTATTATTAGAAATAAAAAATCGTGTAGTGCGTTTTTTTTAAATATATAATTTTCTCCATAATCATTGGAAAAACCTTTCTTTTTGAAATAAACCTTATAGTATTAAGTATTATTTTCTTTTTTGAACTTTTTTTTTGTAATTGCAGTACCAATGCCGAAGTTGTGGAATTGGGTAATCTCAGTATAAATAAGGAAAAAATCCCGATAATAAAAATTTACACACATCCAAACTATAGCGATTCAGATATGTACCATGATATTGCAGTGATGGAATTAGCTATCGAAACCAATTTCTTGCCAGCTTGCTTTTGGAAATGGAATGAGGAAAACATTTTTAATTCTACAAAAATGTTTGCCTTTGGTCATAGTAAATTCGAATGGATGATATATTATTACAAATTAATCAAATGAAGTTACTTATTGCAGATTTTATCAACACAGATGAGATGATCGTCATGTCAGTTGATATAATGCCTACAAAATATTGCAATGATTTTTATTTACACGCGCGCAAATTAAGTCATGGAATGAGTCCGACCCAATATTGTGTCGGCAATACAAATCTTACGGACTCTCAAATGTGCAAAGTAATAAAAAAATGTATTCCTTGTAATATTGGATTCACACGACAGTTTTGTTTCTAATTTTAGCTGTCATGTTTGTAATTTTAGCTGTCAATTGTTGTTGCTTTCAATGCAAAGCGAACATTTTTGACAGCTAAAATTAGAAAGAAAACTTTCGTGTGAATCCAGTATATGACCTAATAATAAACTTAATATTTTCTTATATTGTTTTATTACAGGGTCTGATTGGTGGACCTTTGATGGCTAGAAATGCTCAAAATGAATTCTACCTAATCGGACTCGCTACATATGTACAGCAATGCTATTCAAAAGTTTATCCCATTATCTATCTAAAATTAATACCTTATATGAAGTGGCTACGTAGCATTATAGTTTAACATGGTTTTCACATCACCTCTAATAGATTAGTTATTTAATTAACTTAGCTTTGATTTTTTTATATCTTATAATAACATAAATAAATTCTAAATTTTTTGTAAAAATGTTTGTAAAAATTAAAATTAAAATTTACGCAATCCTAACCGAGTCAACAAAATTGGTCCTACTTTAATTATATAGTTTATTTTTAATCAATTTAACAGCAATAGTAACAAAATGTCGAAACGTAATAAAACCGCTCAGAAGGCCGCTCGTGCTCGGCTTCGCAATGCCATACGTACCGTGATCTACAATAGGATGTGGCTAGCGGATGCGGAAGAGCAAAAGTTTACCCTGAATGTGAAGAAGAACATCTCAATGCTGATAAGAACACAACAGAAAATTGGACTTCTGACAATGGCTGTAAATATTTTCCCCTGGTACATATAGTGTTAGAACTCACATATTTCCTCCTTTCAGGATAAAAGCTTAATTCGAACAAATCACACCATACGTACCGTTGAAGAGCGCAAAAGACTAGTCCATTTGATTGCTAATTTAACATGTTTTTCGAAACTTTCTCCGGTGAGTGTGTAGTTCAAAACGCAACAGGATTGCAATTCTGAATTTATTTTTATATTTTTACATGAAGTTTAGAATTTACATACATTAAAACCAAAAAACTGTAGCAACGAAGCAGTGTTCTAATTTTTTCACTTATATATACTCAATACTGATACTCTCTAGAAAGCTATAGCCATTTGATGTGTCATGCGACGATCCCTATGCCACGGTTTTATCTTAAAACAATTTTAAAATTTTGTCAAATCATTCCAATTATGATGGTATTAGCATTATATGAAATTGTGGGCTTCTTGAAGTTTAGTATCAAGTGAGATGGCATCATATATTTATACTTATATGTTGCACTATATTACTATATATATTATGTCTGTATTATATGTAAATACAATATATTTATTTAATATAAATATGTGAATGATAGACATGTTGTTGTTGGCTATATCCTTCCACTGTTCTTGTAATCATTAAAACTCCTACAGGTTTTATAAGTAATTTATTTTTAAGTAGCTTCAGTTCTTTTCTTATCAGATCTATTTTCTTCAGTTATTATTTCTTTGACGTCTATTATCATAACTTAAAAAACCAGTCATCTTCTGCATCTGACGGTATCTAAAAAATTTCGTACGTTCCTTATGGAAACAATTTATCTAAACAATAATTCTCCGTTAATTGTATCATTTAACAATACCAGGGGAAAATAAGGAATATTCTTGTGATAGCCAAATTTTTTGTCATCTTGTTTTCAATAAAATATGGAAATCTACTCATGTGACCACCTTTTAAGCAATAGAACGAAAGACTTAGAAATCCAGTTACTTGTTCTTAGTTTACTTTAAAATTAATTTTAATATTAATTCACAAATAAATACCAAAATAAGGATTAAAAAATGGGTGAAGAGGGAGCTACTAATAATAATTAAATACTTTTTTTTCATAGAAAGTTCGATCACGTCTAGTTCCAGTCATCTCGTTTCTATACGTTGGACCAGGTCGTGAAATTATAAAAGAAGGTGATCCACCAAGATATGTATACTTCATTTTAACTGGTGAAGTTGAAGTAATGGAAAAAACCTGGAATGCTGTAATTTATATGTTCATTTAGTATCACTTTCAGTTATAAATCTCAGTTACTTTATAATTTTCAGTTTGAAAATGAATTTGTGGAGGAAATTATATCAGTTATAGGTCCCGGTGATTGTATCGGTGATATTGAGTTCATTGAGCAATGCCTGAGAAGAAACACCTATACCACCAGAAGTAAGTCTAGTCACATAATAAATTAAGGATTTATTTTTTATTAAAATTTTAAAACCAAGTGTTTATTTCTTTTTTAACTAATTCCAAAAATCTGCAAGATTTCAACATTTAAGATGTTTATACATAGACTTTTGACAGCATTTTTTATTTATATTCCATTTTTTTAATGCTATTAACTAGCATTATTTTATATTCCATTTTTAAATGTTCATTTATTTATTTTTTTTTTTGTGGCTTTATTGATTATGTAATATTTTCTGCTGGAATTTTTTTTTATATTTTTCATAATTTTTTGAATTGTTCATGTTTTTATGAAGTTATCCAGCACTTTTTTGCTCTCTAAAAAATTTTATTTGTATTATGTTGAGGCTAGTTGAGTCAGTGCACTTGAACACTTTTACTCTCTACTAACTCTTTACTTTATAACTTGTTTATCACTTCATCAGACTAAACAATAACAGACCTTAGATCTGCATAACTAGCCTAGGAGCCTGTAAACATTCTATGATTCGATAACGCGGTGTTGGTAAACCTCTCAGTTTTCGTAATTAGTTTTAGCGCTCTCTCCTTTGTGTATTTTTTGATCGGATCAATCTTGTGGGCTCTGAGAATGTCATTCGTCCTAAAGTACTATGGTACCTTGAAAACTCTTCTCTAAACCTGGGTTTAAGCGATTTCCAGCTGGCGAATAGTAGTGTTTGTGGCCTTGTTGAACGCTATACATCCATATAAAAGTAACGGTCGAATTATTTGGTTATATATCAGCTTCTTGTTCTTAGCATTGAAATATTCATTTTTGCATAGCGGTTGTAGGTGATGAAAAATTTTGGTACAGCTAATTCTTTTCAACGAGATGCTTACTTATTTAATGCTATCCTTCCAGTTTATTAACATATTTCCCACTCTCACTCTCGACGGGTTCTGTCTCCTACAGAGCCTTACTGTTTTAATTTATGATTTTTATTTTCCATTTCTGGAAATACTCCAGAATGAGGTTTATATGCTCTTGAAGTGTGTTGGTTATGTTGAGAGCACATTTATCCGAGTAAAGCACACAAATATCGTCAGCGTATAACGCCAGTGTCGAGGGACCTAACATTGGGATATCGGACGTATAAATGTTGTGAAAAGTAAGGGAGAGTGGCGATTCCTGAGGAACCCCTGCTTATATAGTTCAAACTGATGAGAATGCGCTGTTGATTTTCGTGGAAAAGGATTTCCCACGTAGAAAGCTGCTAATGATCTCAGTTAGCCTGCCTGGAACACTTAGATGAAACATTTTTACTATCAGGCCATCATGCCAGACCTTGTAAAAAGCTTTAGAGATGTCAAAAATGATCATTTTATATTATATTTATTATATATTTTACATTTTTCTTGTCGCTATATATGTGATGTTAGTTGGTACTTTAATAGTTATTTATTTTGATGTTTGGTATTTTGATGAATACATTTGAAATAAGTTAAGAAGTATGCTATAGTGACACGATCAAGTCCAAGGGACTGGAAGAAGAAGAGCTCTTAATCTATGAATAAGTGAATTTAATTTAATATGGCAATATATACGAGTGTGATTTATTATTTTGTGAATTAATTACTTAAGATATTTAAAACCATTTTTATCTATCGTATACTCGTAAATCAAATAACTTGAAGTCGATTCTTGAAAGAACTAAATAATTATTAAAAATTGTTAGTAAGACTTATTGGATATTCTAAAATATCCAATAAAAAAGAAAAATTTATTAATTTTTTCTACTAGAAAGCTTTATTAAGTATTGTAATATTTTTGGAATTTTTTGTTATCGACTATTTTATGAAGGTCGGTACAAGTTTATTCAAATTGTAGCGCATTCAATAAAAATTCATAAACTTTTTGGGACTGCGAATAATTTTCCTATTTAGTTGGCTTTCCTATCAAGCGAATTGCAAGTGCTTTTACTTAGGCAGTCGAATTGCAACCAGAAAATTTTAATTCAATTCAATTCGGTTTATTGGTTTCCATTGTAATGCTTGAATGAGTGAGAGTCGTAAGGAAAGGGGGTAGTTTTTGATTTACGTACCAGGCTATTAAGGTACCATTATAATTTTAGTTCAATGAGTTCCATCACAAAGTGGCATAAATCGAAGCTAACTAACAAAAATGTTTATTCTTTCTAGACAACTGCGAACTTCTCGTTGTGTTTGAAGATGATTTCGATCGAGTTCTACGGGTTGAAATGACTAAATTATGGATGGAAAAAAAAGCAGCTTTTGATGCACTACCTTATTTCAGCCACTTAAATGCCAGTCAGGTCTGATACTATAAACTAGCATTTATATTACATTTATCTCCAACATCTATCTTATATATATCCTTCAGTTACAGAGAGGCTGCAAAATGGCACAGCTGCGTCAGTTCGAGCCACTCGAAACCATTTATTATGAGGATAAAGGACATGTCAGTCCTGTTTATTTTATTGTAAGCGGTGAATGCATGATATTGCAGTGTCTAAAACTAAAGGTTTGTAGCAATCAAATTAAATATGATTTTTGATGGTTGTGTATGTCTTTTTTAAGGTAACAGAATTTAATGAAAAGAAATCCTATGAATTAGTAGATATATCAGATGAGAAGCAAGAAGGATTATTTCAAACAGACGAAGAAAGTTCTAAGAAACCAGAAACAAAAGAAGATGACGATTTTGATATTGAGACGGAAATAAAATCCATAGAAGGTTTTTTACCTGAGCCTGTAAGGAAACTAAGTACTGTTGATAATCCTGAAGTGGTTGCACAGAAGAAACCTAAGCGAGTGGTAAATATAATTTATTATTGCATTATGATTCTATTATTCCTAGCTAACTAACATAAATAACCTCAGTTGTTATTAAAATGTCCAAAATGGAATATATAGTTAACAATATTTTAGATCCTATAATACATTAAAGAGTACGATTATTTTAGAATTGTCGTTAACGTGGGTTATTTAATTGGAATATTTTCAAGCCTAAAACTGACAGGGTGTCAGAATATTATTTTCTCTAAATGTTAAGCGGGGAAAGATAATTCATATTCATATTCCATTACTTTTCTACCAAACGTGAATATATAGCTATTGCGAATCAATTGTTATCCTCACCTTCTCGTTGTAACTCCCATTTTCACAAACGAGGTTCTGTTGACCGAGTCAACGGTGAGATATCACTTCCAACATCCATGTATTGACAGGAAAAGCTTGTTCGTACACGTCGGTGCTAACAATGTTAAAATGGGAGGCCCACTTAGCATCGAAAAACGTTCACTCACAAAATCTATTTTAAGGCAACCGCCCCGTCCCCAATCTAAACTACTTTAGGCCAATTACTTACTGTCATTGAAACATCTAATATATTAACAGAGAAAGAAAATAAACAGAATTTGAGATTTTATATAGTTTCTCCCCACTCTTAATTATCTAGCAAAGAACAATAATGAGTAAGTGTAAAAATTATTGGTACTAATAATGTACTAGATACTAAAACACAAACATGAATGGTTGATTTGTTAGTTTCTTGCCATTTTTTATAGATGTATCATATACCTATATTGTTACGTTATGTTTGCAGAAACTTTATTGACTTTTTCACATACCTGATCAATATCGATTCATCGTTGCTGTATAATTTTCTATTATAATCGAGGTTTAGCAGTAATCTCTCTATCAACTTCTTTATAATTGGTTAAGGATTGACTGGAAGTACCTTGCCTTGGGAATTGTAATTTTATTAATAAACGTATAGATATCTCTTTCAATAAGTTTATTATTCTTGGGTTCTACATGTTTGTTACTAGTTTATATTTATTCAATTTATTAATGTATATTGAAACGGTATATTGTGGTCCCGTAGTTGTACTCAATACAAGAGAAAAATCAAGTAACAGAACTATAAGTGCGTCTGATTATTAAATCAGATCAGTTTAATCAGATTAAATCCAGAATTTTTATTAAAGTAATGTTTTATCTAAAATAAATAAGCCAACTTTAAAAATTGATTAAAAGTATGTTAATTTTTAAGTAATAAATATTTTTACTGAATGATGAAAATTTTAAATTATACTTTCAGATAGAAATAAAGAATCTCCAAGAAATTGAAATGGACTGTCTAAGGTTAGACGCAGATAGACCTTATGAAGAAACGGATGGACTAGGCGAAGATGAAGACGATGAGGAACATGAAGCACCAAAAAAGAAACCATCTAAGTTAATTGAAAAGAAACCGGAGATAAATCAACAATCACAACCGGAAAATGAAGAGGTTACAACAGGAGAAGGCGATGGAGAAGAAGAAGAAATGAAAGAGAGCGCAGTTAGTGAAGATGGCGTAAAAGAAGCAGATGGTAAAGATGTAGATAATAAAACTGATGATGCTACTGAAGGGGATGGTGCAAACGTAAAAGTAGATGAAAATGATATGAATGAGTTATCATATGGACAAGCTTCACCGGAGGATATAGCAAAAAGTAAAGTTAATTATGAAGAAGAGTATGATGATAGTATAGGTACTGAAACGGAATTGAAAAGTGAACTAACTGGTGAGATGGAGGAAGTAGAGGAAGAAACCGATGTAACAGTAGAAGAAAGTTTAGTAAATATTGAAGAAAAGTCTGAAAGTGAAATTCTAAGTGAATTGTTGGCTACCGCCGCAGCTATGAAAACTCCTAAAAAAAAAAAGAAAATTATTAAAAAAAGCGGGAAAGAAAGTAAGGAATTACAAATCAGATATGAGAGTCGCTTTATCGATGTAGGCTCACTATTATTTGGAGGTATTTTTGGTTTAGGTGAAAAGCTACAGCATAGAGTTATAATGGCTCGTTCTACAGTACAATGTTTATTAGTTCCACGCTATTGGCTATTCGAACCAAATCAAAATCCTGGTAATATTTGGCAAAGACGACGTTTTTATCTAAATACTAGCATTCCATCAAGAGAAAATTTGTTTATTGACTTCTTAAGAGAAAAGGAGTGGCGAAAGTTTAAAAATGAAGTCGTCAGTAGAGTTCTGGAAGATGCTGTGTCTGGTAATACAACCAAGGTACAAGATATTCCAATTATTTGTCGCATCATCGAAGATAGCGGAGATGATTAAATTCTGTTATAAGTAAAACCACTTATATATTTTTTTCAAATTTTTTGTTTAGAAATAAATACTAAAACCACAATATTGTTTTCTTTAATTCAAGTATAGATAAGAGTGTCAGTATAAACTGAACGAATTTAAAATTTATAAAAAATTCTTTAGATATACTTATGGCATTGTATATCTGCAAATGAAATAAAATAAGAGTTGCAAACTTTTAATGGGTCTAAGCATGAGTTTAGTTTTGTCTTGAGGAAATTTTTATGTCTCATTTTATGACTAGAAGAACTGCACACAAGATCTAGGTTCAAACCCTAATAAGATCTCTACTAAAAACACACTAAAAGATTTTTTTAAATAGGGCCTCCTGACTCTGTTTCATATATAGAAGTTCAAATAAATTTAATCTAACTGAGTCCATACGTAATAACAGAAGGTATGAATTTCACACATATTTTATATTT